GCGCCCACAGCCACCCAGCTGCCTACCCCGGCCCAGCCGCCTGCCCCGGCCCTGCCGCCAGCGCCCCGCTGTGCAGGCCGCCTGCCGCACCTCTGCCTCTGCCCCCCACCTGCCACGCCGGCCCTGGCGCTGACCCTGGGTCTCTGGGGAATGCAGCCCCTCTCCTTTGTGGGGTGTCTTGTCACGGTGCTGCAGGGCAGGTGTGTCTGGGTCTCTGAGCCTCTGCCTCCCTCTGCTCATAACACTATGCCCCGGGCCTGAGGCGCCCAGGTGTCCGGGGAACCTCCCTGCCAGGGGGTGAGGTGCGTTTCTGGTCCCAGCCCCTGCGGGGAGGGGGGCTCTGGGGCTATTGGGGCCTTTCTGGGAGGCAGGACATTACCCACCCCACTCTGCCTCTTTTGGACCCCAAAATTCCCTCTTGTGTGTCTACCTCCCCCCACACCCATCCCCCCCCTCACTCCCCTGGGCCCTGGTCTGCTGCCCCCTCTTCATTTGCTTTTTCCATCCTTTTTGGGGGGCAAAGCTGGGGGCTCAGCACAGCTGCACTGGGGGTTGGGGCAGCCCCTTTTTCGCACCCCCGCCATGTGGGTGGCCGGCGTCCACACTTCGCAGATGCTCGTGCCCTGGGTCGGGCCATGGTTGCCCTACAGAGATGTCCTTTGCCTGCATGCCCGGGGCTGCTTCCAGGACACACGTGTTATGGGTAGGTGCACACAACTCTATAGGTGGATGCACGCTTCTTACCTGTACATCTGTATTGAGACCTAGGCTTTAACACCAAGGGGGGTGTGTGTGTGTGTGTGTGTGTGTGTGTGTGTGTGTGTGTGTGTTGGATACAAGTTACACGTGTGTAATTTGTATAGATATTGTGTGCACGTGTTATACCTAAATTATATGTCTTAATCATTGTCATATGTGTGTACACATGCATATATATCAACATGCATATGTGTACATACATATGTATATAGAAGTAATATATCAAAGCTAATTTGTGTGTGTGTAATTGAAGCTATATATAAAAGGCCAGCTTTGATATACAAGTCGTTTTTAAGTATCTGCACATAAAGCTTGCATATATAAGTTATCTCAGGAACTTGTATATATGGAAGTTTGAGATCTCTGTATGTATAATAAACTTGTATAAAAGTAAGTGATATTTGGATACAAGTGACTTGTAGATCAAAGTTCTATATATGCACATGTCTGAGGAGCTGTGTGTGTGTATATGTGTATGTAAAAGGTTTGTGTACACGTGCACACACGTGTCACTTTTATGCAGGTAGTCATGTGCATATCAAAAGTTTTATGTGCACATGTATCTTGGTAAGATAATCTGTATGTATATACAACTGCTATACAAGCAATTTATACGCAGATAAGTTGTATATCAGTTTTATCTATACTTAGCTCAGCGGTGTGTGTAGAAGAAACAAGGAAACTAGCCAGAAAAGTGAAGCCGGAGGAGCTGAGACGGGGCTGAGATGCTTGTGTAGATGCACGTTGTATGTATGTATGTATGTATATCTATACAGGGATGTAGCTGGTAGCTGTGTTGGTCTGAGACAAAAAGAAATGCAAAATTCTCAAGCTCTTGGTTCAGAGATGATACCTTTTATTAGGTCAACTAAATCATATTGCAAAGAAAGATCACTTTTTTGCAATGTCTTGGTCTAATAAAAAGTATCATCTCAACCAAGAGTTTGCATTTACACTCACACACTGTTTATCAAGTCCCTGTGTAACTTTAACAATTTTGGATGTACACAGGAGTGAAGCAAACTGGAAATGGTGACTGAAAGCAGAATTCACTTCTTTAGTGCAGCAGAAGCTATCTATGCATTGGGTAAGGATGACATGCAATTCATGAAGTCCCTCAGCAACTGGAACATGTTTGCTATAAGCTGGAAAACTGGATTGAATGATGCATCATGAAAGATGGCTGCTCTGTTGAAGTCTAGAAATTTGAGCTGCATTGTGTTAAAACGGGCTGAGTTCTGCTTTCAGTCGCCATTTCCAGTTTGCTTCGATCTGGTGTACATCCAGAGTTGTTAGAGTTTAAAGTTGCACAAGGACTTGATAAACATCCTGTACATACATAAACTTCTGTGTGTGTGTGTGTGGTGTGTGTGAATGCAAGGGGTGTAGGTTGTAGTTGTGTTGGTCTAGGGACAGGGAAGAAAAGGGTCTTCGGGGGAATCTGGTATCTTTTATTATACCAACTCAAAGAATTTTTCCACCTATTTGAGTTGGTTGAATAAAAGTGTTCAGATTCCCCCAAAGAACCTTGTCTGTATGTGTACACACACATGCATACATACATACCTACATACGTGTGTACACTAAATATAAAAATATGTCTATATAGTAAAGCTGATACAGAAGCACTGCACAGATAAAAGTTACTTGTATCTTGATTTTTAGTGTACATGTATCAGTAATCACATATGTAGCAGCTAATATGTGTAAGAAACTGATACACAAGTAACTTTTACATGCAGAGGAGGTGCTTGAACATGACAGGTTTCTACACACATATCAGTAACTTCCACACACAGATACATAACTGATGATGCACGTGCCTGGCACTGATACACACGTCTCTTTTATGCGCAGATAATTACTTCTATATTGCAGTTGTGTCTGCGTACACACACACACAGTTGATACAGATGTAACTCGGGGGGAGGTATGCATATAACTGGTACATGAGGAACTTCTCTGCAAAAGTGACTTGTGTATCAAAGGTTTCTAGACCCACCTGTCAAGGCTGAGCATGTCAGTTGTGTGTACACATACCATTAAGTGTGCAATATGTGCAGGTGTGCCACACACACACACACACAAACACAGTCCCTCAGGTGTCCAGGTCACGTACCACAAAGGGAAGTGCGAGGCCTCTGCCCGGTGTGAACACACGCATGTACAAGCTCTTCACTATGAGCAGCAGCTGGTTCTTGGCGCGGAACTGGGCTCTTTCCCACCCCTGACCCCGGTTCCTTCGTTCCTCCCCTGGTTCAGGGCAGCTGCTCAGTTCGGTTCCATCCCCAGTGTTGGTTTCCCATGGGCTTATTTATGGCCCCCCCAGCTCGGTGCTGCCCCCGTGCGTCTCCTATCCCCATCACTACAGTCTCATGTGGCTTGGAAGGGGTCCCCGGTGCAGGTGCTGGGAGTGTGGGCGCCCCCGGCCCTCCTTGTGTGCCCCAGCTGCCTCCAGCCCACTCTTAGCAAGACCGGGGGCAAAGCCAGCGGGTGCACTCAGGCCTCAAGTGTCCAGGATGCATGCACACCCATAAAGCCATGAGGGTCCAGGACGCGCAGGGGGCCCAGGTGGCCGGGCCCCCGCACACCCATTTGTTTTCTGAACCAGCCCAAGATCTGGGGCTCCTGGGTGTGAGCCACCCACACCTCCTCCCCCCTCCCCCCTATTTATTTGCCCCCCACCCTGTGCGTGCCCCCCTCCACCCTGCTCTGCTCCGTTTGATTTGAAGCCGATTAAAGGTGGTTGCAGCTCTCCAGTCCGTCTCCTCCATGCTCGTTATTGGGGCAGGGCCGGGTCCCGAAACGCACCTCGCTCCCTTCCCCCGCGTTCCCTCCCCAGGCCAAAGGTCAGCGTAGCTCCCCCCATTGCTGGAGGGGAATGGGGTTGCCCCTGGGCCAGCCTGCAGGGAGGGGAGAGGCTGTGGGTGGTGCGGCCACGGTCAACTGGAGCAGCAGCAGGTGAGAAGGGGTCGGGGGTCAGCCCTGGGTGTGTGGGTGACCCCTGCTTGGGGCCATGCCCCTGCCCTAGGGAGGAGGTGGTGTGGGGTCAGAGGGTGCATAGGGGAGGCTGGAGGTCAGAGGTCACATCACGGTAGGGTGACCCCCCCCCACACCCATGTCCTTGGTCACCTGACTGCCCCCAACTCCTGGAGACCAAAGGTCATCTGCCTTCCTGCCCCCCTCCCTCTGCAACAGAGGCTCAGAGGCCCAGACTCTTGCCTGGGGGGGGGGGGAGCAAAGCATGCTGGGAGCTGGGGACATTGGGGAGGAAGGCATGAGGGGGGCTGGTGGGCTACGCACAGCAAGGCATGATGAGAGGGGTGTGGGCAGCAAGGCATGCTGGGATCTGGGGGGCACTGGGTAGCAAGGTGTAGGGGTTGGTGTTACCAGAGGAGCAAGGCATCATGGGAGTTGGTGTCTCTTGGAGAAGCTAGGCCTGTTAGGTGGGGCCAAGCCTACAGGAGCAAGGCATGCTGGGAAGAGCAGGCACCCCTGTAGTGGCAGGCTGCAGGGAATGCATTCTGGGCAGCAAAGCATTGTGGGAGTTGGGTCCCAACAGCAGCACAACATGCTGGGAGCAGGGTGTTGTCAGATAGGTGTGATGGGAGCCCTGGTGTGGGGAGCAAAGCATGCTGGGAGCTCTCACCAGGGCAGCAAGACCTCATGGGAGCCAACATGACCCAGTGGCATGGGTGGAGTGAGGCATGCTGGGAGGCGGTGCGGAGCAGGGCATGCTGGGAGCAGGCTGATGTCCCCCCACCCCCGCAGGCCAAGGAGCTGCAGATCAAGAAGCAGTTCCAGGACACGTGCAAGATCCAGACGCGGCAGTACAAGGCCCTGCGCGCCCACCTGCTGGACGGCACTGCCAAGGCTGAGCACAAGGCCCTGCTCAAGCGCCTCAAGGATGAGCAGACCCGCAAGCTGGCCGCGCTGGCTGAGCAGTACGACCACAGCATCAGCGAGATGCTGTCCACGCAGGCCGTGAGTGCCCCCCGGCCCCTGCCCCCTGGCACGGCCACGGCATCGGAGAGATGGCCCCCACCCAGGCCATGAGTGCCCCTGGCATCCCCCCATGGCCCTCTTCTACCCCAGAGCCAGCCACAGCCCCCAGGCCTACTGGCCAGACCTCGCCCACCCCCCTGGAGCCAGCCAGCCCTGGGGCCCCCTTTCACCCACCCCAGGAGCCAGGGCCTGCTTTACCCCCACTCGCGCCTGTGAGCCCCAGGCCTCGCGTGCCCCCAGCCCGCGCCCCACCGCCCCCTGACCCTTGGCCCCGGTTGCAGCTGCGCTTGGACGAGTCGCAGGAGGCGGAGCAGCAGGGGCTGCGGCGGCAGCTGCAGCAGGAGCTGGAGCTCCTCACTGCCTACCAGAGCAAGATCAAGATGCACACGGAGGCGCAGCACGAGCGCGAGCGCCGCGACCTGGAGCAGCGCCTCTCCCTGCGCCGTGCCCTGCTTGAGCAGCGGGTATGTAGCCCGAGGGAGGCCTGGGGGCCATGTGGGCCAGGGGCTGGGCCCGCGGGCACTGACCTCTGCCCTTTGCCTGGCACAGATTGAGGAGGAGATGGCAGGCCTGCAGGCAGAGCGGTCGGAGCGCATCCGGGCGCTGCTGGAGCGGCAGGCACGGGAGATCGAGGCTTTCGACGGCGAGAGCATGCGACTGGGCTTTGCCTGCATGGCGCTGGGGGCTG